TGTTCGCCTGATCTATGCCTTAATCGTTCACGATTGCGCATAAGAATACATAGAGATTTGCTAAATTTTTATTCTTATTTTTAACAGTGATTTGATGTTTTTTCTATCAATTCTCACAGACCTACTGAATTCTTGTTTAATTTAGTCTACAATGTGTTTTTTTTCCTGCCCAATTACATATCTTTTTACTCAATTGTTTTATAGATCCCGCTAAAAACAATATTGATCTGATAAGATACCTTGAGCTTTTCATGAACTTTGTTATGCCATTTATACAATCTGAGACAGCTGTTTTGGCTGCAGACTCATCAGGCTGAACCGAAAGGTATTGTGATACTGATGAGGCTGCAATGCTGAAGCAGCTGTCTAGTACCGTATAAGTGTCATTAGGGGCCTCATGACACGCTAGACAAAATATGTTTTGAAATTATTCTTGTTTGAGCGAGTTCTATCGAAGTAGCCAAAGAAAAAGTCGTGATTCATTTTACTAGCCGCGGGTTCTAGTGTACGTCGCTGCAATGTCGGGAATTTGATCATCTAACTTCCACTGATTTATCATTCAACGTTGGTTCCTTGGTGGGTAAGAAATTTTCTCTTGTAAGGGATTGCCTGAACAAAAAGGCACCTCCATACTGATGAGGAGTAAGGTCGAAGCAGCTGCCTAGTCTATTTTCAGTTTTGAGTAAGCTATGGATCGTAGAAATGATCATATTTCACTAGTTGAGCTGGACAAAAACGGAAATGAAAACGGCCGGCATTGTTAAAATCGACTGGTTTCAAACAAGCAGAGGTCTACAGAGCCGTGAAACATTTAGGAGAAACTTGAGAGATTGAAAAACCGTACTCAAATATGTCCCAACCACTTCGGCTACGCAGAAAAAACATTTAGAACATTTAGAAGACTAGCTACCAAATTCAACGGAATCCGAAGCGTTTCATGAGGTAAATGGCAAAGAAGCTCGGCATCAGCGAATACAGCGCTCGAAATTTCAGAAATAAGCCGATGCTGCGCAGCTATAAAATCGCTTGTGCTCACTTTCTGGACACAAACATGAAAGAAAAGCGGCTTCCAAACCTTCTTCTGATGATTCGTTTGATGGCTGGCGATTCTGTCGCAGGCTCTTTCTATGGATGTGAAGTTATTTACGATCTAATTACTCTATTATCGTCAGAATCGACGTCAGTTTCTTAACAATGGTCAACAGAAGTTCGCAGTAAGGAAAATTATAGGTCTCAGTCATTTTCAGCTTTTGTGATGACCCTGGCTCGCGTTTGAGCCACCGCAAAGACGCCGTTCGTCTTCACCAACGAAAACGTCATAATCAGGGCTGTCAGCTATCATGAGCACGTTAGGAGGCGTACTGGAGCATTGAACTACTCAACACTTTTGCATTTAGAGATTTACGTTCTAGCAGGACTGCGCGCCTCCACATTCTGCTCGCCCAATGATTAATATCTGTCAAGAGCTATTTCCAGGCTTTTGAGGCAAGGACATATGGCAGTCTTACACACCGGATCTCTACCCAATATATCATTCTGTGTGGTCCATACTAAAATAAAGATTCTTATCTACCCGCTGAATTAGCGTAGATGCTCTTAAAAAGGCCTTGACACGCTCTTGGGACGAAGTTATGCTTTGCGAACAACTTTGCAAACTATGAGGGGTTAAGAAGGCAATTTCAAGCAAGTGTTATAAAATGCTTCCTATATAGTTATAGTTATAGTATATTATATACATAGTCGATCTAATTACCGTTATGAATGAATTTATTCGCTTGTATTTTTTAAATTTCGTTTCAATATTTTCCTGAGACTATAGCTCAGATTTCAATATGCCAGAAAATCATTTTTAAGTCACGCATGTCATGTGGTCTGCTAAGATGGGATGACTTATATAGCCCGATACACATTTCGACCTTGGAGTCTCGTTAGTCGGACAGACTCTCCTTTTTTGCCAGTTCAGTTTGGGTGCTCCAGATCCCACACTAACAGTTAGCGGCTACGAACATTTTACACTGTAAATCCAGTGAAATTATAACCGAACAGACAGCGTTGTACACTCGATTGCTCCTGGCTAGTATATTTAATGTACCACATCTTTCGTTTCGAGTGTTTTCTTAAGATCACAGCTCAAATTTCAATATGTTAGAAAATCATTTTGGGTTCCACAGAGGATTGGCAAATGACGGGAAAGGGTGACTGCCCAACTGAAGAGACCGCAACTTATTATACAAAATGTGAGAAAAGTTTTGCTTATTTCTCGAAATGATCAAACAGTAAGGTAACATGCTTAAAAATCATTTTTGAGCCACGCATGTCATGTAGTCTGTTAAGATAAGCTTTCTTATAGAGCCCATCTTGACAGACCACATGACATGCGTGGCTCAAAAATGATTTTCTAGCATGTTTTCTTACTGTTCAATCATTTTGAGAAAAAAGCAGAATTTTTCTCACACTTTGTATAATAAACTCTTGAGACAGAAAAAGAATGCTTGCATTAATTAGCGCCTTACAAGTGAGCTAAGTGCACAAAATATCCAAGAAGGATAAGGTTCTCGGCGCTGAACCATTTTTGTGAAGGATGCTCCATGTGTTCGCCTTCAATTTTTAGATACGTATGAGATGACTTTACGCATACCCTGACTTTTATAATGACTTTGATGGCTTGCAGTCTATCAAGTCACCGCTACTGTTTTCTCACAATAGTGGTAGCAATTTACCGACCCAGAAAAATGGGAATCGTGCTGAGTCGCAAGCTCGGGATCGAGCCGTCGACTATGTGTGCGGCACAGAGCTCTTAAAACCATAGCGTCAGGGTGTCTGACCGTGGAGCAAAAAGTATCTGCTCATTCCTGATTTTCTTTTCAAACAAAAACACGAGATGCTACATTAGCTTTATTTCACAGCTGACGTTTCGGCAGTTCGCCTTCTTCAGAGCCTGGAAAGGTCAAATTGTTCGCAATTCAATAAGCCAAACACCTCCAATACTCCCTTAGAAAAAATCACCAGACCTAGATTTCAATCGCATTAAGCACAAAATCAACTCTGAACATACTCACCGCTTTTTATATGTGTTCCACCGAATGGTATAAGTGGAGACCACCGCAAGGAGATCACATAGGCTCGTAATGCACCTAACCCATCAAAATAACAGTCTTATATACTGGCTAAAATCACGTGTGATTACGAGGCATTCCTCCCTGCGGTTCATAGTTGGATTGGTAGTATTAATCCAAAGTGCTTCAAGAAGCTTTCGCGCTGATGTTTTCTGTTCCTGTGCAAGGATGGTGACTTCAATCTCAAGATCAGCTCCGTCGTGTTTCTGTTCTCTATGCGTCCCTAGCGGGGTGTTTCGTCTATTAAGACGCTTGTCAGCTAAATGTTCTTCTATGGGGGCATAGAGCGGCCTACCCGTTTCGCCAATATAATTATCGCTACACGCTTTGCAAGAGATTAGGTAGACTGTACCTATGCTCATGCAATCTATACCTATGGGCATGCCTATGGGTTAGATGTATTATGAGCCTATGTGATCTCCTTGCGGTGGTCTCCACTTGAATCATTCGGTGAAACACATATAAAAGCGGTGAGTATGTTGAGAGTTGATTTTGTGCTTGACGCGATTGAAAATCTAGGTCTGGTGATTTTTTCCAAGGGAGTATTGGAGGTGTTTGGCTTATTGGATTGCGAATAATTTGACCTTCCAGGCTCTGAAGAAGGCGAACTGCCGAAACGTCAGCTATGAAATAAAGCTAATGTAACACCTCGTGTTTTTCCCTAAAAAAGAAAATTAGGAATTATATCAAAGTATGCCGAGGTTAATAGACAGTCCGCTCTTGGGAATTATCTGCTATTGCACGGACATTTCCCATGAAGTCCCAGACGCAGTATTTATTGCTAGTCATGTTTCTAGAAAGATTGACAACGATTAAATAATACGAAATCCAGATTGTATGATCGCACACTAGATCAGTCGTAGCGGATACTCTGCTCTGATCACTGATGAGAGTAAAGTTGACTTTTACTTTGCTGAGCGATCACTGTAGGGCTTGACGAGAAAAGAAGAAAATGAGGAGATTTGATTGACGAAGAGTGCAAAACAGCAAGATTGTAATCATTAATCAATTACCCAGAAGACATGTAACATTTCTTGTTGCTTTAGACTGTCTTATTCGATGGCTTGCGGCTGCCAACAAAGCATGTAGCAACATCTTCATATCAACTATGTTCAGAGCCTCTTCTGAGAACTCAGATAAAGAGAGCAAAACATAGTCGATTGAAGGGTATTGGCAATATGCTCTGTTAACTGCCGTAAGCTATCGCTGAAAATCAGTTTGGACCGTAACATCAAACAATCTTTTCACTCAGCCCTAACTAATACATTTCGACCCCGATTTCTCATAGGCGTAGTGGTGAACCGTAGGGCATCTGGTACTGATGACGCGTGGGAGAACGCGAAACATACGTATAATAGCCGAGATGCTATATGAGACCTCTGAGGCTTGAAAACATTAGAAAAAAACAAAACAATAAAACAGAAGCATTTACGACTCATCATTTCAGAAGTGCCAGCCAAAAGCACTCAATTGTATAACACTGCCAATCTAGTGATTTACTTCACTTGAGGGCACGTGTAAATCGCTCATCGTCGACTCTAAGTAGGGACACTGCGTCACCCGAGAGGTTTGCCTAAAGACGAAGTGCCTGCCCGACTGACGAGGCTGGCAAGGCCGAAAACACATGCATCGGGTTACACAAGAACCCATGACAGATCGCATGACATGTTGGCTCAAATAATAATTATCAGATTTGTTAAAATTTGAGCGCGCCCTAAAGATAACACTCGGAACGAACGGTATAGCCATTGAGAGGTACTGCATGCGACTGCATTTACGCAAAACTAATCTCTTAATTCCGAAATTTCTTATGTTTTATTGCCTTCTGGCAGTGCTATGATGTTTCAAATGTTCATAAGAGAATTGAGTGATAAACAAAAACTCGACCTCAGCTCGGAGTTGGACCGGTCTTCATCCATATCGGGAACGCGTGCTACCACTACACCACAGAGGCAACCGTTTACTCACTACTCATAATCAATATCTTTCCATCTTGGCTATTACCCAACAACCACTAAGAAAAAATTCGACCACAGACGGAAGTACACTTTGATAGCTATGATAGAAAGATATTTAAGTATAAGTGGTGAGTAAGCGGCGGCCTCTGTGGTGTAGTGGTAGCACGGGTCTCGGTATGCATGAAACGTGGGTTTAACTGTCGTTCTGAGGTCGAGTTTTGCTTCACAGTCAGTTCTCTTAGGAATCGCTCATTATCTCTGGTACCTGAAATTCAGAACGCCGACAAAACTATGAAAAACGATTAACTATCGCCTTGATTAAAAGCTTGATTTGCACCTGATCTTTAGGTATTCGATCTTGTGGTAAAGGAGGCAAATATCATTGGATTATGGCCTCTTATATGGGGGAAACTATCTACAAACCTCATTCACATACCAAACACGGGTTGTGGCGGTGAGTTTTGCTTCATTCACTTAAAGAGTCCTCAAAATGCGAAAAACCTTGCGATTGGAGTCTTCACGATTAGCTTCCGGTTAAATTCTTTTCATCTTGTGCTATTTTTTCTCTAAACGATGTATCACCTGTATCACCTGTCGTCCAGTTGATCGTCGAGTGACTGAAGCGGGCACCAGCAACGCCTCCATCTTTCCTTATCGTGTGTAAGAGTGGCCCAGTGGTCCTCCTCGCTCTAGGGATTCGCTGAGCATCATAACTTTTTTCTATCGCTTTCGTGATAAAATCGGACCAACGGATCAGTGGTCTTCCTTTAGAGCGCTTGACGTCCGAGGAATCCAGTCGGTAACGGCTCTCGTCTATCGGTTGTCGTTGAAGCGCATCACGTGTTCGGCCCACCTTATTTTCGATATCCTGGCGTGTAGAACGGCGTCTGTGATTTTCGATCGTTGACGTAGGTCGGAACTTTGGATCCTTTCTCTCATTTGCGAGATACGGGATACTCCTAGCATCGACCTTTCGACTGCGCGTCCAATAACGCCAAGTGATCTTTCACCCTGCTTACTTAGCGACCAGGTTTCCGCTGCTTACGTTAAGGCAGGGATAATCGACGAGTCAGAAAGGTGGGCACGGAGTCGGATGTCCTTGGTCTTCTTCACTACATCCTCGATTCACATAAACGTTCCCCTAGCCGCTCGGTTTCTCCTGCTCAACTCTGGAGTAGGTCGTTCATCATGTTAATTTCACGACCGTGATAGACGTAATGGAGCAATCGGAAATGTTTGTTTCGTTGAGCGTATATGTGGCATTCGAAACACATCTGTTCCTCATGGACATCGTTTTCGTAAGATTAGTTGAAGGCCAACTTTTCACAGGCGTCAAAGTTGGTCAACAATCGTTCCATGCTTGGTGTTATGAGGACGATACAGTCGACGAAGAGAAGATGGTTTAAGTTGCGACCTGTGATTTTCACTCTCATACCTCTCATTCTAATGTTCGCGTGATATTTCGAAAGGTGGCAGTGAATTATTTGGCGAAATTGTATCGCCTTGTCGAACCCCTCTTCTTACTTAGATGGTAATATTGTTATGGAATGGCGACATTTTGGTCGTGAAATTTTTTATAGCTCACGAAGGATCGTTATGTACCGAGGAGGGAACGCCTTGATTGTCTAGAGGCTCCATAACCGCTTCTATTTCCAGTATAACAAAGGTTTTCTTGAATCGATGAAAGTGAGACAGAGCGGTAGTTTGCACTCTCGTGAAATTTCAGTGAGTCTTGCGATCATGTGGATGTGGTCTATAATACTAAATCTTGTTCGAAATCCTGCTTGTTTCCATGGTAGTTTTCTATCCAGCGTCCTGTCAGTCCTGTTAGGATGACTCAAGCGAAGAGTGTACAGAAAAGGACAATGAACAGATTGAGCGATAAATGCCTATTCGAGAAGGTTTACCTTTTTGAAAAAACAGCACGGTCTTACTGGTTTTGCATCGATTGGGAACCTTGCATTGTGACAGGAAGCAAATGAAGAGCCGAGCCAGGGTCTTAATGAGAACTGGCGGAAGGTTCTTCAGGGGTTCTGGTCTAATCATGTGTGGGCCAGGTGATGTTCTATTCTTCACCGACGATATAGCATGTCTGATTTCAAAAGGCAGGACCGGTGGAGCAATAGATTTACCCTCTTTCAATTTGCGTGACGCCAAGAGGATGTGGCTAGTGAAGAGTTGCGAGTAGTGGTGGTGGGTGGTTTTTTCCATTGACTTCTGGAAGCTGAAAGTGTTCCGTCAAGGAGCCGGAGTGCAATAGTCGGCGGAGCTTTGCTGTACTTTACGAATGCTCTTCCCAAATTCAGCTTCTGCCATGACTGGTGCTCGTCTCTTTTTGAAGTTCTCTTTCATCGCTTCTCTGCAACGTTTCACAGGATCGAACGTAAAGCCTAAGCTGAGTGTAGCTCGTATGATTCCACGTTGACGTATCAGCTTGAGTGCCTGCGAAGACGAGCGTCTCTTTGTGACTCTGGGACTCTCAGCCTTCATAGCGCTAACGTGAAAATATTCAGCAAACCGGTCATATCCTTCGTCGTTGTTGTCGACAACGGTATCTTTCCACGAGCCGATTAATGATTCAAATACGTCACAATTAATGGTAGTTCTAGGACTTCGTCGTTTGAAATTGAAGACTTTCTCTCCTTTTTGCGGAAAAAAAAACTTTGTGCAAAAGAGATGATCCGATCCCGTGTAAAGCTTATGGACAACAGCATCGGTGAAACAAAACCTTCAATTAATCAAGATGTGGACTATTTCGTTATGGCAGTCTCCATTGGGAGACTCCCACGTCCACAGCTGAGAATGAGGCTTTTGGAGTTGTAAAGTTACCATGGATGGTTTGGGTCGTCATGATAAACTCGGATAGCCTCTCACCCTGTTCATTCCATTCTAGTCCATGGATCTCAAAGTGACGATCTCTAGTGGTTCTTCTAGGTCCAATATTTGAGTTAAAATCTCCAGCAATAGACCTAAAGAATAACTGGTCTTTTCTGAAGAAGTGTCCGAGGTTCATAAAGCGCCCTTCAACTTTGGCCTTCGTGGTAGCTTGATGTTGATGCGTATACTATGAAGGTGGTTAAGGTTTGCACTGATCCACATTGTTTCAAGCGTAATCGTCCGATACGGGTTGTTAATTTTTCAAATGAATCGATGTTCACTGTGAAATTCGATTTGACGAGCACGCCAATGCCGCCGACACCTGTGCGATCGCAGGTTCCGAGAAACAGTTCTTCTCCGGTAACATAAACAACGTGATAAGGAAGGCGTCTTCTTGTCTCAGCTAGGCCAATGACGTAGTTGTTTTTGTTTTTGTTTTTGGTATCAATATCCTCTACAGCGGATTCGTGAGCAAGTGTTCTTGCGTTATATGTATAGACTGTTATTTTGGTCCGTTTCGATTTTGGCAGTTTAGTTCGACTCTGGAATTTTAGCAGCCTCTTCGCACTCGTCCTATCTGGCGCTGCTGCACCGAGGCTCTTTCGAGATCAGGATAATGAAGCCCATATTCATAGCTGTCTTTAGCTTTTTAATTAACAACGTATAGCTTGCTAGGCTTTAAACGTGGGGGCTGGGTACTCACGAGTATTTCGCCGGTCTCTCTCGGAGGAGCGGGAGGAGCCTATTAGTTGAAGGTGACTCCTGACCGCCTCCCATGTACTTCTCAGTAGCTTGATTGTAGACTCTTGGCCGCCTTGGCTCGCAGAAATAGAGCTTTGTCAATTCGGCGCTGCAACTTTTGGTTTGCGTTTATTCCCATCCACCACCTCGTGACGGGTCACGTACCCCGGCGACTAATCGGACCGTGTCTATGAAGAAGGAATATCCGTTGGTACGATGTGTAGTCATAACTGGCTGAATAATTGTCTGAGAGAAGTGTCAAGATCGTGTTTGCAAGAATTTTGTGGGCTAAAGGCACTTTGTAACTCCAAACTTCAAGCAGAAATACTAGAACTGCAATGAATGTCATTGTAATCAGCTTATTTTACTAGGTTTAAAAGATACTGTATTGTGGAAAAAGATTGAAAACAACAGCAGCTCTTTCAAAATAGAAGCCACCTTTATCCACAATCTTCTGCAACGATCTGGAAGCTTTCAGATCTGCTCTGAATCTCCATTCCTTGAGCTTTGAATCAAAAACTTCTAACATGTCTCCTCAACACGATCAAATGTCTCGAATCGGCGTCCACAGTGGAAAGTTCCATTACAAGGAATATAAACCCGACTTGGAAGGCACAGCATCTAAATTGCAGGCTGAGTGCTGCAAGAACTCGATTCCCTCCAACTCATCAAGCTCTATCTTATACTTCTTTGCGATTATACGAGAATTGGCACTGTCTTGCTAAGACAGCACACGCTTAGGCAAATCAATGCCGAATGCTTTTAAATCCACTATAACTAGCGTTGCTGTGGGAGTTTCTTGTAAAAATGTTTTGAGATATTCCATGAATTTGTAACGCCGATACTTTGTGAAACAAACACAAAGTTTGATTTTTTTGCGAGTGTTCAGAACTTTTTTCTCAACTTAGCATCTTACCGGCGCAGATTTATTCTTCCCTATCTTTCATTGTTCTTTTCTCACCCCACGATCCTCTTCTTAGAGCCTGAAATGCTCGTTGGACAAAAACTCACTAGAGTTGTACTTCCACATGTTTGGGGTTTGAGTCGCGATGGAAAGCATAAAGGATGGCACATAAAACACCCAATTTTACTTGAAATGTGAACCATAAGCTGCATTTACTACTGGCGGCTCATGATATATTCGTCATCAAGGGAAGGAAATCACAGATCTGTGCATCAAATATGCTTGCTGAACACAATCTATGTGCTGTTTTCATAGATTATTCTATTTTACTCGCTACAGCGTTCTAAATCACAAATGAAAAATGAGAATCTCGAAAGGCATTTCTTGCATGGACTTAATCCAAGCAAACTCTGCTCATAGATTTCTTGAATGCCACAAAGACGTTGTCTTAACGTTTTCCCATTACAAAAACGG